CCAGGTTATTCATAGATTTTGGACGAAATCACATAGGAGCAAGGAGAGCACCAGATTCGAGGTGCACTTGCACCTCGGCCATCATCACCTCGGTTAACAGAAAATATTTGGTCAAAAGTTGGTCAAAGAATGGCACCCATCACACTTTGCCACACATCAAGGCTCTTGCCCATAGAATAGCCAACACGTGTATTGCATTTATTGCACCGCCTATTTAATTACTAATATAAATACCCATATGGGGCAGTTGTACGTAGAGGTTTGAATCTCATTCAATACAAATTACTTTCTCTCTAACATCTAGCTCTCTCTTCTCTCTATAATACCGTTAGTTATTTATCGGGAAGCTATGACATGATTTAGATTTCATAACAAACTTGCTATTAAATATGCATATGAACGAACTTGCTATTAATCTGAGGGATTCTAATGTCATTGAGAATGATATTTGTGGTAATGTCCGGTACGGTGCATTCTTCTTAAGTGCATTTCACTTATGTATCCTCATAATTTAGTTTTTCACTTATAACTTTCACTTTTTCACTTTAAATTTTTTATTTCAAAAATAACCTAAAACAAAGCTCAACCCCCACCGAGAGTAATGATCGATGATTGCTGGCAACCTTCCTCCTTTCCTCCTTCATCATCTCATCTCTCATTTCACCGCCTCACCCTCTCATTCTCTCTGGCCCCCGCTTCCCTCACATCCTGTCTCTCCGAAAGCTTAAAATCCTAACTTGCCTCAACTGCTTCCAGTTTCCGATCACATCTATGTGGTGGAGTACGGTCCAACGCTTTCAGGTGATGGCGTTACGCCGGCGGCACTTTCCAGCCTCACCGGCTTTGCGGCTCCGCCCTTCATCCTCCGCCCCTGCTTGGTCGGTTGCTTCGGTATGTATTTAGTCAGTATATCTTCAATATGACTTCGATTTATTTCTTTTTCATAGGTTTATATGTGCGATGATCTCAGATTTGTATTTGTTTCAGAGTAATTTTTAATCTTAAATTCAACTTAGTTATCATATTTTTCTTCTTAAATTCATCTGTATCTCATATTGACATATGTAGCAACATATTTTTTCATTCTCCAGAATTTCATTGAGTTTGTCATTTGAACTTTTACTCTTATTCAAATTTCTTCTCATCTTTTATTATTTTTCCTGGAAAATCATATTTATTGGTGTTCTATGCTCTTGAACAAGCTTTATTCACCCATGTGACCTTGAAAGGGCAAATTCGATCTTGAAAGATGACTGAAAGTTGTATCCCAATTCACCCCTATTAATACGTAGTGATAAATTAATAATAACCAATATAATCCACCTTTAATGAATTTTACCTAGCATTTCTTTTGTGGTGTACATCATATGAAATATACTCCATAGAGTGTGTATATATATATATATATATATATATATATATATATATATATATATATATATATATATCCTTAAAGGTTGCAGAATCACTTAAGCAAGGAAGACTTTTAGCAAAAAAATTGGTTCCCCCAGCCATATGCTACGTGTTCAACTTTACAGGGAATTGGATGCTAAATTTTATCTTTAAGTTTACTCTCTTTGACAGATCTTCATTTATGAACAACTTTTTGATGTACTCATTATCCTTAAGTTCCCTCTTGTGATCCTTCGTGTTTTGGCAGCAACATTAGCAAAATACATTATTACGGAGTATTATATAAGGATTGATAGGCTTAGCTTGTAGTTGATTAATTAGCTTGTATGCCCTTCAATAAACATGTAAGAAACTTGCATGCATATCTCTTGATCGTATGTGCTGCCTTTGTTAGTAGATATCCATGGCTTTGGTGGTTAAATTTCGTGTGAATGTCCATGGAGAAATCTGTTACTACAATTATATGAACACAAACAAGAGAGCTAATAATAGCTTTATTAGCAGGCTATGATCTATGGTTAAAATGTGTTCATGTCCAGTACGTTGAATATTAAGGGAAGATATTAGACGTTGCTTGAAAAAGTTAGTGCATGCCCCTAGGAATGGAGAGAGCACTCTTGCCTGAATCTTTGTAAAGGTTAAACATGATATCCTCCAATTCCCCATGATCCCTTTATATCTTTTTTTCCTTGTAATGATCGATTCCATATTTGCGTTATATTGATTGCATTCTTATTACAGGCGCATAAGAGATGTACATGGCCGGAGATCATAGTCAAATTAAGAAGCTTAAATAGGAAATGAGGACACAAGAGACAAACTTGATGGATTCCGCGTTAAGATGCATCCAATGAAGAAGAGAGTGACCAAGCAAAGCCAAATAATACAATAGAAAGATGTAATAAATTAAATAATCGATTGAATTATATATTAAAAGTGATACATTTTTTTGTTGTTTTTTGTTTCTTTTTGTTGTATCAGATATGTTACTTTTTGTAGCATTGTGTTTCTTATTGTTGTATCATGTTTCTTTTTGTTGCAATGTGTTGCTCATTGTTGTTTATTGTTGATTTCGCTTTTTGTTGTTTTAATATTTAGGTATAATATGTATTTTGTGATATTTGTATATATGTATTTGATAATAATAATATGTATTTTGTGATATTTGTATATATTGTTTTTGTTTCTATTTGTTGCATCACATGTGTTGCTTTTTGTTGCATCGTGTTACATTTTGTTGCATCATGTTGCATGTTGTTGTATCGATTTGCTTATTGATTTGTATTATTGATTTTAATTTTTGTTATCTATTTATTTTTATATTTATATTCGTTTGTAATTTGGAATAAAAAATCAGATATAAGTATATAAGAAATATCTAAAATGATTATTTTCGATTTACGAATAAACAAAAGGTAACGTGAAAAAACAATAAAAAACAATAGAAAAAAAAAGATATGAACATAGGGAAACACAAAGAAACAATATGCAACAAAAAATAATAAATAAATTGGTTAAATACTTTTAAAATATTATATTACAAAAAATTATATATTTTCAATTTTCATATTTTTCAATTGTTTTTATATTTTCTTTATTTTTCATATTTTTATTTTCAATTTCTACAACTTACACAAGTTTTGGTTTATTTCAATATTTATAATTTTTATAAATTTTAAGAACCTTATTTTCTATTTTAATTTTATTTTTACAAAATTAAGTTTTATTTTTACCTATTTTGGTTTTATTAAATATGTGTTTTTGAAAGTTTTGGACTTCAATTTGTACGGAGTATTTTGTTACATATGGGTATTATCTAGTTTTTAAAAAGTACATTACAAATAAAATATTTTGTACGGACTCTGTTTTTATAACTCCATACGTTTTTAACTTTTTAAAAGGTATTTACTTTTATTATTTATTTTTTCTATTTCTTCTACACGTTTTTACGCTTTTTTAATTCATTTTTTAATTTATATTCACATATTCTTAATTTTTATAATTTTATGTTTTCCCTTTTTAAGATTTTCCTATTTTAAATTCAGATATTCTTAATTTTAATAATTTTTCGTGATTATATTAATAATTTTGACTTTATGATAAATAAATAAATCTATACACTTTTGTTATGTAGCTTTGACTTTAGAAAAACAAAATATTAGTGACTCCAGGCTCCAGCACATTCATTTAGCTTAGAACGGACTATGGAGAAATGCGGAACTACATATGTTGTTCAGGCCTCCAGCGAACACGTGAGCTAATTTTGAAAATAAAAGTCTATCTAGTCTACTTTTGAAAATAAAAATTGAAACCGAAAAAAGTGATATATTTTTCAGTTTTCGCCCCTTTGCGAAAAATGCCCATGATAAGCTTACACGAAAAACATCGTTGTCTCATATTTTTAAAATGAAGCTCGTTCTCAAGGGATTATTTTAAACGACATTAAGGTCAGAGCACCTATGGCTATCAAGATACAACCCTCAAGAATGACGATACCGGTGATTTAATCTCCAATGCTACAATGCGCACAATGTACATGTGGCATGAGAGATATAGACACAAAAAATTAAATTTATGACATTTCTCTCTCATTCTTTCCACGGTTTTGTGTGTTTTTGGTAAGTTTTTCTCAACAATGTCAACCACAATGTCTACATCTAGACATTGTGTTTGGCATTGTAGAGAAAAACTTACCAAAAACATATAAGACCGTTCAAATAAGGAGAGAGATAAGCTCTTTTTGTTTCGAAATCTTCGAAAGACGAATTTTAGGTTATGCATTTTTTAATGGAAAAATTGACAAAAATAATCCCACCTTTCGCTGGTCTTCTCATAATAATCCCACCTTTAGGTAATCCCAGAATAATCACACCTTTGCACCCAATCTTCTTTCATTGGACCATGACCATGTTTTTTACTCTCTTTTTGAAAATCATATAAATAATCTTACCTTTCACTTTTCTATTATATCTTTATAAATGTGAGATTATTTATATAAGATTTTCAAAGAAAGAAAAAAAAACTTGGTCAGGGTCAATGAAAGAAGATAGGATGCAAAGGTGAGATTATTTTGGGATTATATAAAGGTAGGATTATTGTGAGAAGATCAGTGAAAGGTGAGATTATTTTTGTCAATTTTTCCTTTTTTTAATAGGATTAACAGGAACTATTTCATCGCTTGGTGGATTCCACTTGAATCATATAAAGTTCCCAATAAAGAGGAGTGCAAGACTGGTCAAGAAGATTTGAAAACTTTCTTTTCATTGTTTGTTTTACGTGATGACATGATGTACCCTGTTTAACTCTAGTTTGATTGGATTATGTTTGATACTAGACAAATAAACAAATGCAAAGTTCTCTCCATATAATACAAGACAAATAACCAACAGAAAAATTCCCGAAATAGGAATTAAAAAGTTTCAGAGTTCGAAAATAGGATTGTAATGTTTTATTCCCAAAATAGGAGTAATTACTGCTAAGCTTAGAAAATACTGCCATATTTAGAGTCTGGTACTGCCAAAACAAGACAATAATTACTCTTATTTAGTGAATAAAAACACGATAACCCTATTTTGAAATAGACAAACTTGTTTAACCCTGTTTAGGGAAATTCCTCATAACCAAATCATGCACAAATACATATGTGAGATGATACAACCGAATGTGGAGTTCTTTCTTGATAAGAGAATAGAACGCATCCACAATACATATGTCACATGAAATAAGCAAATCTAGAATTCTTTCCTTGATATAAAAAAGAACTCATACACATACTAGCTTGAAATAAAAATATGGGAGTATGAGTTTATCATGACATTCCAAACCGTTAATCTGGTATGCATGCTGGCTAACAGAATGAAAACTTAAGATATTGTTCTATATACAATATAGAACGGAGTACTGTATATATTCATATTCATATCATCCTCCCAACATACCGTCCGATCGGGGTTGAGGGTCCTCAGGGATAGAGTGTCATTCTTTTCTTACTATATACATATGTTATTTCTTATTGTACGGAGTACTATTTATTTTCCTGGGTTCAACCTCCTCTTTCCGAATTCATCCAAAGGCCAGATGGCATCAATAGTACAGGGATCCTGCAAAAAGTACGGAGTAAACAATCTGAATTGAATATTATGAAATTAGTGAAATTCTAATTTAAGCGATTGAATCTCATGAATTATGAAAAATTATATTTAAAATACAAGTCGTCATCATCATCATCACTCCAGTGCCACAAAGACTCCCACCAACGGTGGGATAAGGGGGTCAAATGTACGTAGTCTTACCCCTGTACTAGAGCACATATAGACTTTTTTTCAGATTACTCATAGTGAAAAAGGCGCCGAAAATTGCATGGATCGACTGCTGCTTCATAATAAAGAAGCGCATACAGTTCAGTGAACCATTTTGCTTTATTCCATCATATTCCTAAGCCAAAAAATAGTGAGTCTTTGGCTCCATTGCAAATGATGGAAAAAATACAACCAATTCACCAATACAAGTATATTTCATTAATGAAATTGAGAAAAAATTTGTATGAAAAATAGTTAAAATAGTTCTTTTCAGCAATTTCAACCAACTCACACAACCAAAAAAGTACATAACGGCAGTTTGAACTACTTTGATTATTGCACACTTCAACGTGTAAATCAAAATTGCATGTTTGACAAAAAATTGGCTAATAAAATTAATAAGCATAAATATGAGTTACTCTTAAGATTTGATGTTTCATTTTAAAAGACTAACCTAATAGGAACATTGAAATTACTTTATACAATCAAATTGGGGACATCAACTATTTCAACACACCCCTAAGCCTGATCCAGACTCGACAATATGAAAGTTTATAAATGGACCAAATAGATCTTTAACGAGCTACCATTAATATGAATGTTAAATATCAATCATACTACTAGCAAGTTTGACTCTAATATCGTTGAACTATTATACTGTAAAACTTCAATATATGAATAACATTGGGATCATATTAACAACTGTTGTCAACTGTTGATATGATATTAAATCGCATTGGAGCTTTATATAGTATTTTATTATTTTATATCAATTGGGTGTGGAACAAATAATTCAAGAATTATCAAATGGCTCATAAATCATAATAGCTCATTACGCCTTTTATTATATAACAGATTCTATATTACTCATAATATCTAACCAACAATCAATAGTAAATGCTCAATGAGTTGATCAAAAGTGTATACACACCTAGCCACCAATCTCCTCTATTTGCAAGATTTGGGTTAAACACCCCATTTTGATAAGCTTCTCCCCCATCTTTCAACTGCTCCAGTGAACTTATAGTAACTGAACAGTGAGGACTAGTGATGTTAGTGGATGGAAAAAAAATATCTTGGCCTCCATAGTATAGTGATGAGCTGGAATAGTATGGTGATGTTGGCTCATCAGTGTAGTAAACATAACTCTTGTGCTCAATGCTTTCCAGCCCTCTTTGAGACTCATCATCTGTATGTTTGAACCACCCATGTGTCACTTAATTACAAGCAGTGAGCTACACAAAAATACTCATAAAAATTCCAATTTAATGTACATGTTTTTAGACATTTTCCCAATTTTGATGTGTACATAAGCAATTGGGCTAATAAAATACAGATTTTTTTAAAATTGTTTGTGTGCATAGATAGCATCTACACCAAGAATTATTAAATTATTGACATCCTTCCACCATCCAACAAAAAGTCACTATTTTGACTCTTTTTTGGAATGTCTATTTTGACTTTTCTCAATTAATGATAACAACCGTTGACCAAAATTCAACAAAATTCATACCCTTCTAAGATACAAAAAAATTATATAATTGTTTATTGAAATACTCCATAAAATTATAAAAAAAATATAAATTTATCAAAATAATACTATGTACTACCTTTGTCTCAATTACTTAGTCATCTTTGACTTTTCCAGTAAAAGGTGGTAAACTTTGACGAATTATTTAAACTAATATATTTATGCAAAATTTAATGATTTTATTCTTTTATGATAGTATTTTTAACAAATAACATTTTCATATCATTTTTATATTTTTATATTTTATCTATATAAACTTATAATCGGTTAAAGTTAGTCGTCACTGACTTGAAAAGTTAAGTTTGACTATCTAAAATGGGACAGGGGAATAACTAAATCATGTTTGCCCGAAATTTATGACGAAAAAGTCAATATGAGGATTGAAGGAAGTATTTCCATATTTATTGATGACTAAATTTTAGGGCGGGGGACTGGGGAGCATGTATTATGTCCATTAAATTCACTGAAAATAGCACGAGTAATTTTTGGACGGCAAGAGGAAGCGTGTTGCTGAATTCTTCATACTACCTACGATTCTATTTATTTTTCTTGAACAAATTACATTAGACGTCTTTATTTATCTTAAATGGGGAGCAAATGAGGAAACTAAAGAATAGATCAAGGGATTTTTATGCATCACGTAAATCTGCACTACAATGTTTTAATTATAATTAATAATTAAAATTTTAGATGTTTAAAAACAAAAAAAAACTTTAAAGAAAATAATAATGTACAAATGCTTTACACCAAACCAGAGAATAACCTTTCAAAAAAAATCAGAGAATAAAGAAATAGGATGACAAAAAGCTATATATATAGGTATAATTTCAAAGTTATGTCGGATATCTTTTGACATATATGGTGTGGTCCATCACCATTATTAAAAGATTGTTTTTTTTTGCAAAATTATTAAAAGATTATTTTTGCTCATTAAAAGTTCAATAATGGTCCATCACCATAGGAGTATTATTTACACACAAACGGTGGAATTGACCCCCCCAGTCAATTTGCAAAAAACAAAAACGGTTACCGGTAGGCGTAGCTCAACTGGTAGGAAGGGAGTGCCACAAGGGTTAGGTCCCGGGTTCGAATCCCGGCAACTGCGATGAGGGGTTACTATGCTAAAAATGCATAGGGCCTCTGCAAGTACCGGGGACAGAGCCCCACTCTCTATCTGTCAGATTGGGATTATAGTCCAATTTACATCCTCCCAACGTACCGTCCGGTCGGGGTTGGGGGGCCCTCAGGGATGGGGTGTCATCCTTTTTTTTTGCAAAAAAAAAACGGTTAATGATGTTATACTACTTAAAAGAAACTTAATTATTTCGCCTACTCATTTTTAATTTAGTGTTAGTAATATAAATTTATACATTCAAGAGTTACTTTTTTTATGTCATTAAAGAATCACCTTAAGAACCCATTTGGTAATACCCATATTGAAATAACAATTGAAAATGAACCGCTTTAAGCAAGTCTAATAAAATAATAATTTTACTTATTTTAATTATTACACAACTTCAAAATAAAAAATTTGCATTTGATAAAAAATTTGTGTTGAATTCCCACACCGCAAACTTGTGAAGGAATTAAACACTATATTAAGATACGAGCTTCTCCGATCCTCCTGTCATGTTGACCTTTTACGATGAAACCCTAAGTCTTAATCGTTTGACTAGTCACAAATTAAAACTGATAAATCAAAGAATTATGTTACCAAACAAAGTTTAAAATGTTTGATAAATTAAATCGTGTTCGAAAACCAAAGTTGACAAATGATAATTATAAATGGATACTTAAATAAAATAAAATTGTGACAACAAAAAATGGATATCATTTTAGCACACAAATAGTCTTGCATTTTTGGGTTGGGACCTCGGTCAACAACGGTCAAGAAATGATGAAAATTGACAATAGAGATGATTTAGTAGGATCCGCAGAACAGGTTTTAAAAAAACCTGAAGTTTTAGGGTTTCGACGACCACCTGAGTTATGCATTCTTGAAAATGATACCACTCCATGACTGCCCATCCATGGTCCCTAATCGAAGTGAAATCAAAATTATTATCTATGAACACACAAATTTGGAGCTATCGCATTTATATCCATCGTCCAAGGTTTATTTTCTGTGAATCTCGTTCATAGACAAACAAAACTTATTTTTCAACCATTCTTTTGATAGAGGACCCTTCATCCTTCCTTTGTGGCTCATATTAAACAGTGCCATTGTTGATATGTTTTTCAAAGATAACTGTTCACTTCAAAAAGTAATCAAGTAATGACAAAATATACTCTCCATTTTACAACATTTTATCAACTTTACTTAAATTATTTGTGTATCCATGTAACACAATTTTGTTAAATTTATTTATTTATTTATTTATATGTATCAAAATACTTTGTTACACTTTGTTATTTACATTGCAACGGTCAACATTTCACACTTGTCGAGACACAACTTTGACCATTAATATAAATGATTTTGTATTAGTAAAAAAATTAAAAAAATTAGATTATGAAAATTTACAATGAGACAAGTTTAACAATATTTTTTCCATAAAATAATATTATTACATTAATAAATAAAACGTAGTCAAAGTAGAACATGTGAATAGTGTAAAAGTCAAAGTGTTGCATTTATTTAAGAACGGAGGTAGTACTACGTAACAAATATGTCATTAAAATTATTTATCTTTTATACATAAATCTTAAAAATTATTCTACGTGCAAATCAAATTTGTTATGTTTTTTGAGTTGGTGAGAGTATTAAATTGACTATGAGCTCTTTTAGTAACCTGTATATTTAGCTTATCAGCTAAATTTGTATTCAATACGTAACTTTTAATTTTGTAATAATCAAAATAAGTACGGTCAGAGTTACTTTCATGTTTGAATTGACTCAAGTTATAAAATATATTAGTATTCATTAATATGGCTCAATAAATCAGCTGATTCAGACAATTCATCCCTTTTAAGTTAGAAATTCATATACGGAGTATTTCATTTGACCAAATTCAGTATTATCATATGGCTCTATATAGGGCTTACATTTATTTACGTTTTGTTTGTTACTTTGTTCTCCCTAGCGCTTCCAAAATACTTGTCGAGTCCATTGCTAATTTCCAGCTTTTGAGAGTTACCGTAGTAGTAAATAATTTAGTGTAATTTCAATGTATGCCCATTTTAATTATTTAGAACCAAAAACATCCAAGCCTTAGTCCATTTCCGATTACTTAGAAAAGTTTAAGTTTTAAAAACAAAAACAAAAAAGATGATCTAAGATGTGAGTAGTACCTTAGTCGGAGGAAGATTTGAGTGGCCGTTTAGAGGACCAAAGAGATCGGTTAGAAAGGAAGAAGATGATGATGTTGGTGTAGGACACCCCCCAAGTTGCTGCTTGTAGCTCTGGTCGTTTCTCTTCTCCATTTTATGGGGTACCCTTAATAATAAGGTATCCAAACTGACTTGTGGGGGGATTGAATGTGAAGAATGGGAAGATCGACGTTGTCTATTTATCGACCTCTTTTCATAAGGAGGTCGCTTCTTGGTGACTTCTTCCTTGTTTGATTTTTTTCCCTTGGTTTTTACTTCATTGAAATTTGTTCCACTTTAATGACTAGAATAGTCGAGGGATATATTACATGGTTGCTTGCTACGGTACCCAACGATATAGTCGAGAGTATCATACCTAGGATGCATTTCATTGGTGCAACTCAAAGTTTTACATTTTATTTGCATTTAAATTATTCATTTGGAAATTTTTGATTGGTCCATATCATCAAGGTACCATAGAAATTGTCATATTACGTGTTCACGTACGTATACAAGTCGATTTTAAGATGATTAGCTAATAATCTTGAAATTCGTTTTCAAGTCCTTTTCAAAGCAGCAACTTTGAATGAAATAATAACTCGTAACTAATAATAACAAGTCCTTTTCAAGGTGATTAGATAATTCGTTTATGAATGAAATTCTAACAAAAAGTAGCAACTTTTTCAAATGTATTTTGAAAATAGGAATGCATTGTTCTCGTCTAGTCGTCTAAACCGTTTATATCATGCACACTTTTTTTAATGTCATTATCAATTCATCGTGTGACTGTTAGTGTCATGCATTGTTGTGTCATCACCAATGTTGGTATCGCTACCACTAATATCATTGTCATCGCAACATGTCACCGTGACCTCCATACGTAAAAAATTTCAGCGGCTATTTCTGATAAGGTTGTTAGAAAATAGAAGACGATGTTGGTTGTATGAGTAGAATAAGTGATTTTAGTGCGGTGTAATGTAGATGATGTGTTTTGGAGGAGAGTTCTTGTCTCTAGAAAAGTAGTATTGTATTGATGTTTCTTGGTTTTGCTTGGTATGCAAATGAGTACAATGAGTCCTATTTATAGGAGCTAGAGGATCATTCTAGATCCTTATTAAATGCTATGATTCTAAAGTATTCTACATCTATGTCTAATTACTCTAGATTTTACACAACAATTCTCTAGTAGAGAATTTTCTAGAATACTTTCTAGCTTTAACTCTCTAGATTATCTCTAGCCTTTTCTACATAGAATATTCTAGATAAATGCATCACTATTTAATACTCCTCCTTGATGCATTTGTCGGTGACTCCAAGCATTCTTCGCAGAAACTGGAATCTGTCTCTTGGCAGGGCCTTCGTGAAAATATCTGCCAATTGTTCTTCTGTTGGGCAGTACTTCATCTCAATATGCCCCTTTGCTTGGCCATCTCTCAAGAAGTGATACTTGATATCGATGTGCTTTGTACGATTGTGCTGAATTGGATTTTTAGCCATCACAATAGCTGACTTGTTGTCGCAAAATATTTGAGTCGCAGAACTTTGCAATTCTCTCATGTCTTCTAATATTCTTTTTAGCCATATAGCTTGGCACGCTGCTCCGGCTGCTGCAACATACTCGGCTTCGGCGGAAGATAGTGCAACAGAATCTTGCTTCTTTGATCCCCATGAGAAAATTCCCGAACCCAGCTTAAATGCGTAACCGGGGGTGCTTTTCATGTCATCTTGAGATCCAGCCCAATTATTGTCGCTATATCCAGTTAGTCGTGAGTCAGAAGTTGTTTTGCACCAAATACCATAATTGATGGTTCCTTGTAGATACCTGAGGAGTCTCTTTGCCGCTCCATAATGAGTCTCAGTTGGACTTTCCATGAACCTCGAGAGCAAACTTGTAGCATACATGATGTCCGGCCTCGTAGCCGTTAAGTAGAGTAGACTCCCAATCAAACTTCGGTAATTGGTTGCGTCCGTCTGCTTTGATCCATCTTCTTTTATCAATTTTTCATTAGGAACCAGTGGAGTAACGACGACTTTGCAGTCTTGCATTTTAAACTTCTTTAGCATGTCCTTAATATATTTTTCTTGAGATAAGAATATGCCTTCTTCTTCTTGACTTATCTCCATGCCAGGGAAGTAGTGCATTAATCCCAAGTCACTCATCTCAAAAGTGTTCATCATGTCTCTCTTAAATTCTTCAATTAATTTGGAATTATTTCCTGTGACAATTAAGTCATCAACATATAGAGAGACGATGATGAGAATGTCAGATTTACCTTGGGATTTGATGTATAGTGTAGCCTCGTTCTTACTCCTCCTGAACCCTTGACGGGTGAAGTATCCATCAATCTTGCTATACCACGCTCGTGGAGCTTGTTTGAGCCCGTAAAGCGCTTTCTTTAGACGAAGAACTTTTCCTTCTTCTTTGATGAATCCTTCTGGTTGCTCCACATACACTTCTTCTCGTAGCTCTCCATTTAGAAAGACTGACTTGACATCTAGCTGATAAATTTTCCATTTCTTCTGAGCTGCAAGAGCTATGAGTGTTCTTATTGTGTCCATCCGGGCAACTGGTGCAAACGTCTCTGTGTAGTCAACTCCCGGTATTTGAGCATACCCATTTGCAACCAGCCTTGCCTTATGCTTCTGAATTGAGCCATCGGGGTTCAGTTTTGTTTTATACACCCATTTGACTCCAATAACCTCCTTGTTATGTGGAAGATCTGCCATTTCCCAAGTATCATTCTTTTCTATCATTTTGATCTCCTCCTTCATTGCTTTAATCCAAACTTTTTCTTTGGAGGCTTCGGTGTAGCTATATGGCTCCAAGGAACAAAAGTTGCATGTTTCATAGATGTTAGTAGACTCATATAGGTCTGCTAGAGTTCTTACCCGAAGAGGTGGGGACTCTGGCGATGAGGAGTCGTGATTTCTTGATGTATAAGCTTCAAAAGAGGATCTTGGAGTAGACGTGGGGCTTTGTTGATCGTGATTTTCCTCTTATGGTATTTCCTCTAGTTGGACAGTAGTTGTCTTTCTTTCAACTTTTTCTGTCTCCCAATTCCAAGAGGTTTGCTCGTCAAACTCCACATCTCGACTTGTCACCAACTTCTTTGTCTCGAGATTGTAGATTCGATATTCCTTGGATTTGGAGCTATAGCCAAAGAAGATGCCCTTCTCTATCTTGTCTTCTAATTTGTGCCTTTTAACAGAGGGAACATGAATGTAGCATATGCTTCCGAAGATCTTCAAATGTTTGGCTGAAGGCTTTTGTCCCGACCATGCCTCAATAGGTGTTTTGTTTAAAACCACCTTAGTTGGACACCAGTTTAGAAGATAGACTGAAGTATATACTGCCTCTGCCCTGAACGTTTTAGGCATTCCCTTTTCAGCTAACATAGACCTTGCCATCTCCATGATTGTGCGGTTCTTCCTTTCGGATACCCCATTTTGTTGTGGAGTGTATGCTACTGTTAGTTGATGCTCTACACCTTCATCTTCACAGAACTTTTCAAATTCTTTTGAGTTGTATTTGGTACCTCGATCGCTTCTCAACTTCTTGATTTGATGACCACTTTATTTCTCCACGAAGTTCTTGAATCTCTTGAATATTCTAAATACTTCGGATTTTTCTTGGAAAAAATACACCCATGTCATCCTAGAGTAATCATCGATGAAGAGTATGAAGTACCTGTTCTTCGAAACTGAAGGCGTGCGCATTGGACCGCAGACATCGGTGTGGACAAGCTCTAGTATCTGTTTGGCTCTCCATGTCTTTTCTGTTGGAAATGGTTGCATGTGCTGCTTCCCAACCATACATCCTTCACATACTCCTTCTTTTTCATCCAGTAGAGGCATGTCTCTCATCATCTTCTTTTGGTGTAGTAATCTCAAGGTATTGAGATTGAAGTGCCCAAATCTTCGATGCCATAGACTCGTATCACTCAGTTGAGCCACCATCGCCTTTTGTCGATATTGCCATTGAATAGGAAAATTTCTATTATTTCCCATTTTTACTTCAGCAATTTCTTGATTATTATTCTTTTCATAAATTCGGCAAGAATTTTTCTCGAAGTGCAAGGCATATCCACTTTCCATCATTTGGCCAACACTTAGTAGATTTTGTGCAAGGCGTGGCACTAGGAGAACGTTTCTAATAAAGCGCGTACCTGTCTTTGTATCTATGACAATGGTACCTTTCCTTTTTGCCTCCACCAAATCGCCATTGTCCATCTTGACCTTTGTCTTGATAGAGGTGTCTAAGTCATGAAAGATGGTCTTGTTGGATGTCATGTGATTGCTGCACCCACTATCGATGTACCACTCTTCTTCTTTTGCTTCTATGGCTGAGTGACATGCGTAGAACATGTACTCCTTCTCCTTAAAATCTTCAGAATAGTTGGCCTGATAGTTTCTTCTATCTCTGCAATCTTTTTCTTCATGCCCGAACCTCTTGCAATTTCTGCATTGTGGCTTTCCTCGATGGTAGCAATCTTTCTTTAAGTGATTAGTCTTCTTGCATATTTTGCATGGTGGAAAGTTCGTCTTCCTCTCCTTGGTGTTAGAATTCCCATCTTTATATGGTTTAAAGTTTTCACCATTTCTCGAGTGATTCCTTTTAATGTTGAGCTTAGACTGGAAGGCACTTTCTAATGAACTTTCGTGTCGTCTATTCAGCCTTTGCTCACGTGCTTCTAGCGACCCCATTAATTCAGTGATGGACATTTTTTATAGATCTTTTGACTCCTCAATAGCCGAAACTACTGGATCATATTTTTCAGGGAGACTGATTAGGACCTTCTGGATTATTCTCTCGTCGGTTATGTTTTCTCCAAGAGTTCTCATTTCGTTGACTATATGTATAACTCGAGAGAAACAATCTTTTTCCATTTCAGAATCTCTCATCTTTAAATTTTCGAGCTCTCTTCTTAAACTTTGTAATTTAATAGTTCTAACTTTCTCATTTCCTTGAAATTCCTCCTTGAGAATATCCCAAGCTTCTTTTGCCGTAGTAGCACGAATTATTCTCGGGAAAATAGTATCACAAACGGATTGTTTAAGAAGATAGAGAGCTCTAGCATTTTGCTGTTTTTGTTTCTTACGTACCTCGGAAGTTGATGCATCGTCGCTTCCTTTTTCTGTCATGATGATTCCTTCTTCAACAATATCCCAGAGATCATGTGATTCTAGGCAAGTCTTCATACGGACACTCCAATAGTCATAGCTTTCTCCATTGAACATCGGAGTTGATACCGAGAAGCTTGATGTTGCCATAATGCCCGCTTATGATCGAACAAGCTCTGA